TTAGCTAGGAAGGAACAGCCCCTCATGAATCCATGTTGAGCATCATTAATCAAATTATGCTTAACAAGATGGCTTCTTATAATTTTGTTTTTCAACACATTGGTCATCTCCCACCGAGGCAGGGTGACCCAAAATGAAAGAAAATCCCCCCCATAAAAATACTTTCATCATAATTCAACACTTCCACCTCATTCATACATAATCGCTGTCTTTGCAGAGGTGCTCAGATACGACAGCTTACGAGTCCCACCAAACTGCCAAATATCCCAACCCCACCTTTAAAGTGCAGGCACTGTACTAACAATTTCCATGACTCAAGTCCGGTTAACCAGTTCCCCTGAATCCCTTCACAAAATATTACCCTGCTCACGCTCCAACAGCTCATCAGGTCTCAAAAAGCCATTCGTCTCCATTCACTCTTATCTAACACGCTTGTGCATGCTTGCTGAAAATCCAAGCCCCCTCACCCACAAAACCACCTTTACCGTCTCCCTCCAACCTTTTTGAGGATGACCCCTAGCCTGCCTTCCTTCCCCTACAGATTTATACGCTCTCCAAGTCATTCTACTTTAATCCATTCTCTCTAAATAACCAAACCACTTCAACAACCACTCTTCAGCCCTCTGACTAATATTTTTAGTAACTCCACACCTCCTCCTAATTTCCACACTCCGAATTTCTGCATAATATTTATAACACACATTGCCCTTAGACAGGACATCTCCACTGCCTCCAGCTGCCTCCTTGCTGCAGCATTTGCAACCCAAGTTTCACACACATACAAGAGTGTTGGTACCACCATACTTTCATGCATTCCCTTCATTGCTTCCATGGATAACGCTTTTTGTCTCCAGAGATACCGCAACGCACCACTCACCTTTTTTCCTTCATCAATTCTATGGTTAATCTCATCCTTCATAAACCCATCTGCTGACAAGTCAACTCCTAAATATCTGAAAACATTTCTTCCATACTCCCTCTCTCCAATTTTTATTCATCTAAATCATTTGATATCCTCATCACCTTACTCTTATCTATGTTCTTTCAACCATCTTTACAAACCCTCCCAAACTCATTCACTAACCTTTGTAACTTTTCTTTAGAATCTCCCATAAGCACAGTATCATCAGCAAAAAGTAACTGTGTCAACTCACATTCTGTATTTGATTCCCCATAATTTAATCCCACCCCTCTCCCCAACACCCTAGCATTTACTTCTTTTACAACCCCATCTATAAATATATTAAATAAACATGGTGATATTATACATCCCTATCTAAGACCTACTTTTACCAGGAAGTATCTCCCTCTCTCCTACACACCCTAACCTGAACCTCACTATCCTCATAAAAACTCTTTACAGCATTTAGTAACTTACTACCTATTCCATACACTTGCAACATCTGCCACATTGCTCCCTTATGCACTCTATCATATGCCTTTTCTAAATCCAGAAATGCAATGAAAACTTCCCTACCTTTATCTAAATACTGTTCACATATATGCTTCATTATAAACACTTGATCTACCCACTCTAAAGCCTCCTTGCTCAGCTGCAATCCTGCTCTCTGTCTTACCTCTAATTCTTTCAATAATAACCCTACCATACACTTTACTTGGTAAACTCAGTAAACTAATTCCCCTATAATTTTGCAATCTCTATTGTCCCCTTCCTTTTACATAAAGGAACTATACATGCTCTCTGCATGTATAGTACCTTCCCTTCTTTCATACATTTATTAAACAAAAATACCAACCATTCCAACACTATATCCCCTTCCCCTGCTTTTAACATTTCTGTCATGGTCCCGTCAGTTCCAGCTGCTTTACCCCTTTCATTCTACGTAATGCCTCATGCACCTTCCCCACACTTACATCCTGCTCTTCCTCACTCCTAAAAGATGGTATACCTCCCTGGCCAGTGCATGAAATTACCAGCTCGTTTTCTTCATCAACATTTAAAAGTTCCTTAAAATATTCTCTCCATCTACCCAATACCTCCAGTTCTCCAACAACTAACTCCACTACTCTGTTTTTAACTGACGAATCCAGTCGTTCCCTAGGATTTCTTAACTTGTTTATCTCACTTCAAAATTTTTTCTTATTTTCATCAAAATTTCTTGACAGTGCCTCTCCCACTCTATCATCTGCTCTCCTTTTGTACTCTCTCACCACTCTCTTCACCTTTCTTTTACTCTCCATATACTCCACTCTTCTTGTAACACTTCTGCTTTGTAAAAACTTCTCATACGCTACCTTTTCCTCTTTTATCACACCCTTTACTTCATCATTCCACCAATCACTCCTCTTACCTCCTGCACCCACCCTCCTATAGCCACAAACTTCTGCCCCACATTCTAATACTGCATATTTTAAAACTACCCCAATCCTCCTCAACTAACCCCCCCCCCTCCACTATTCATACTTGCACTAGTCCACCTGTCTGCCAATAGTTGCTTATATCTCACCCTAACTTCCTCCTCCCTTAGTTTATACACTTTAACCTCTCTCTCTTACTTGCTGTTGCCATTTTCCTTTTGTCCCATCTACCTCTTACTCTAACTGAAGCTACAACTAAATAATGATCTGATATATCAGTTGCCCCTCTATAAACATGTATATCCTGGAGCCTACCCATCAACCTTTTATCCACCAATACATAATCTAATAAACTACTTTCATTACGTGTTATATCATACCTTGCATACTTATTTATCCTCTTTTTCATAAAATATGTATTATTTATTACCCAACCTCTTTCTACACATAGCTCAATTAAAGGCTCCCCAAATTTACCTACTACTCCCTCCACAACATTTTTACCCACTTTAGCATTGAGATCCCCAACCACAAGTACTCTCTCACTTGATTTAAAACTCTCCATGCACTCACTGATCATTTCCCAAAATCTCTCTCTCTCCTCTACACTTCTCTCTTCTCCAGGTGCATAAACACTCATTATAACCCACTTTTCACATCCAATCCTTATTATATCAGCTATAATTGACTCTAGGAGTAATAAGTAAATGATAAGTAAATATTCAGTGCTTATCATCTCTTAGATTTTGAGAGCAAACAAAAATATAAATTAAAAACAAAACTATCACCTAATGTAATAAAGTTGTATGTATATCCTCACCAAATATCACTGTACAAAAGAGTGTGAAATTTTCAGCACAACTGGTCAGGAACTTTCATAGTTATTCTATGTCAACATGTGCTTTTAAAATATAATTATCATTATCACCTTTACAAAATTCTATCTCTTATTAACAAGAAAGAGAGCAATAAACCTGGAAATTAAAAATACCATTAAGTTTTCAGTTGGAAGAGTGTCACTAACGACAACTCAATTACAATGTAATTCTCATAACAAACTAGAGTATTAGATAATTTTCCCTTACTAATCTAGCATAGCATGATCAAGCATGGTGTTGAGTTGATAGGGAGGATGAAGTAGGCAAATCCTATTAGGAATTATATCTTCTTCTTTCAACAAACCGACCGTATCCCACCAAGGCAGGGTGGCCCAAAAAGAAAAACAAAAGTTTTTCTTTTTAAATTTAGCAATTTGTACAGGAGAAGGGGTTACTAGCCCCTTGCTCCTGGCATTTTGGTTGCCTCTTACAGCACGCATGTCTTACGGAGGAAGAGTTCTGTTCCACTTCCCCATGGAGATAAGAGGAAATAAACAAGAACAAGCACTAGAAAGAAAATAGAAGAAAACCCAGAGGGGTGTGTGTATATATATACTTGTATACATGTATGTGTAGTGTGACCTAAGTGTAAGAAGTAGCAAGACATACCTGAAATCTTGCACATGTTTATGAGACAGAAAAGAGACACCAGCAATCCTACTATCATGTAAAACAATTACAGGTTTCTGTTTTACACTCGCTTGGCAGGACGGTAGTACCTCCCTGGGCAGTTGCTGTCTACCAACCTACTACCTATTAGGAATTATATGTATAAGTTATATAAGAGGGGAATGTATGAGAGTATAGTTTTACCAACGCTCTTATATGGGTGTGAAGCGTGGGTGATGAATGTTGCAGCGAGGAGAAGGCTGGAGGCAGTGGAGATGTCATGTCTGAGGGCAATGTGTGGTGTGAATATAATGCAGAGAATTCGTAGTTTGGAAGTTAGGAGGAGGTGTGGGATTACCAAAACTGTTGTCCAGAGGGCTGAGGAAGGGTTGTTGAGGTGGTTCCGACATGTAGAGAGAATGGAGCGAAACAGAATGACTTCAAGAGTGTATCAGTCTGTAGTGGAAGGAAGGCGGGGTAGGGGTCGGCCTAGGAAAGGTTGGAGGGAGGGGTAAAGGAGGTTTTGTGTGCGAGGGGCTTGGACTTCCAGCAGGCATGCGTGAGCGTGTTTGATAGGAGTGAATGGAGACAAATGGTTTTTAATACTTGACGTGCTGTTGGAGTGTGAGCAAAGAAACATTTATGAAGGGATTCAGGGAAACCGGCAGGCCGGACTTGAGTCCTGGAGATGGGAAGTACAGTGCCTGCACTCTGAAGGAGGGGTGTTAATGTTGCAGTTTAAAAACTGTAGTGTAAAGCACCCTTCTGGCAAGACAGTGATGGAGTGAATGATGGTGAAAGTTTTTCTTTTTCGGGCCACCCTGCCTTGGTGGGAATCGGCCAGTGTGATAATAAATAATAATAAGTTATATATATGAAGTGTTGTACAGCAGAAAAGAAAAACCAAATCCATACAATGGATGTGGGAGAGGTCCAAGCTCTGAAGCTGAAGTGACCATACATTATGTGGTTCTGAGCCTAGCAAGCAGATGCAGAGACAATATTTATGCATTCCCATGAATGGATGAAACATTAAGAAAACAATTCATTTGCTAACTCAGATTTTGGCTGTGGTGGCGCTTATTCTTGTCCTCATCTTAATGACTCATATGTTAAGTCAATGTTAAGTCTTTGGTGCCAAAACATCTCATAACATTCATAAACAAGAAGGTAACAAACAATACAAGAGCTTACCCAACATGCCAGAACAATATGGAGCCATCAGAGCCTCCACTAGCAAACAGACCCTCATGATGAGGGTGCCAGCCAATACACGAAGCTTCTTTTTTGTGACCACGAAACACCTAGAAAAATTTTACTGTATTAACTAACAGTTTTAACATGTACACCCTATAAAATAAGGTAAGTTGAACACTGGGTATCTGGATTCATTTGTTCCAGAAACTCATTACGAATGGGACACTTTCACATTTATTGGCTCACCTATTCTATTTTAAATAGGAAACCTTGGGTTATCCTAGTTGAAATGGCACTAGTTTTTGTAATCTCCATGTGAAGCCCAGAAGGGTATCTATCTGTGCCTGAGCTAACCAGTGATGTTCATTACCAAACAATGGGCTTGTGCAATACAAAAACTGTCTTTTGCTATTTTTCAAGAGAATTCCCTATACAGTGATTATGTATGAATGATGATGAAAGTGTGGAATGAGGATAAAAGTTTTTCCTTTCTTTTTGGGTCACACTGCCTCAGTGGGAAATGGCTGACATGTTAAAAAAAAAAAATTCCCTATAATGCTAGTACTCCTAAATAAGAGTGTAATTGATGCACTACACCTGTTCTGCAGGCTGGTGAATGTAACAAGACATATCAATTGACTCTAACCTAAATGAAGCTGTAAATGCCTGCACCTGGATATACAAGCAATCAATGAATTCATAAGAGTATATGCATGTGTGCACAAGTATACACACACACTTTTTTTTTACACACTGGCCATCTCTCACTGAGGTAAGGTGACCCCAAAAAAGAAGAAACACTTTCACCATCATTCACTCTACCACTGTCCTTCCAGAGGTGCACTGATATTACACTTCAGATGCCCCTCCAAACTGCAAATATCCCCACACATATATATATACAGTAGGGCCCCACTTATTTGGCAGTTAGGTTCCAGGCTACTGCCGGAAAGCAGACTTCGCCGGAAAGCAGAATCCATTTTTACCATTTATAAATGCATATAAATGCCAGATAACAAGTTTACACTAACATATATTAAGTTAGCAATAGAACCAGACATTACAAAGTAAAATACACACGCAATACACTCATTATTTACCTCAAAATATTTGTAGTCTTAATTGTAGGGCAAAAGGTGAGTAGTATTTACTCTAAGAAGTCAGGTGTGGTAGCCCTCCTGGGCACACCACCCACACATGCTATACTACGATGCTTAAAGCTCCCTAGAGCAATAAAATGCATATACAGTACATGCATTACTTACCTTAAAATATTTATAGTCTTAATGGTCTTAATGTAGGGTGAGAGGTGAAAAGTATTTATTTGTAGAAAGTCGTGTGGGAGGCATGGCAGTCTGCCTAGCCACTGGCACTTATACCTACTATGACATTAAGCTCCCTAGAGTGATAAAATGAGTATATAGTACACTCATTAATTACCTTAAAATATATGTAGTCTTAATGTAGGGTGAGAGGTGAGTTTTATTTGTATGAAGTCAGGTTAGGAAGTATGGGTAGCCAAGAAGGGCAGCCCTCCCCACCCCACCCCATCCACACAATGTAAACAATCCAGACGAACGCATCTGGTTTTTGTCACTTTACAATGTGTACAAGTTGTCTCTACGTTTATGCAGTAGAATAAATAAAGAGAATCACTCCCATTCTCATGTAACACCATTTTTAGAAGAAATGATACACTGAGTGAAGGCATACGAAAGAAATAATTTTCTAGTTACCCCCTGTAATATTATAGTGAACACATTTTCTCTGATGTTGGACTATAAGTTGCCTGGCTACTACAAGTCCTACAAGTTGCCTGGCTACCACAAATCCTACAAGTTGCCTGGCTACCACAAGTCCTACAAGTCACCTGGTTACCACAAGTCCTACAAGTCACCTGGCTACCACATTTCATATTTATGGTAATTTATTCTACTGTGGGGTGCATCTAGATGGATTAACCCTTTCAGGGTCAGTGCCGTAGATCTACGGCTTTACGTTCAGGGTCCAAACTGTAGACCTACGCCATGAGCTCAGCTCACTCTGATAAGCTGTGAGCAGTAAATTTGGGCCTAGATATGAGAGAATACATCTATGAGGTATGTGTGCACTACATAAAACAAATCCTGCAGCACACAGTGCATAATGAAAGAAAAAAAATGAGACAGTAATTTTCGATTAACCCTTCAGGGTCGACAGGCCCTCTCAGACTTGTTCTCAGGGTCGGCCAAATTTCAAAAAACAAAAATTATTTTTTCTTATGAAAAGATAGAGAATCTATTCCCGATCGTAATGACACCAAAAGTATGAAATTTGATGGAAACTTACGGAATTATGCTCTCGCGAAGTTAGCGGTCTCGATGATGTTTACGCATCGGCGATTTTGCCCAAATAACAAAAAAAGGCACAATACCGTGACTGGAACGATACACAAATAACCTGCACATAGAAGAGAGGAGCTTACTTTCCGCCAGACTAACACTCTTCGCACTAATCTCGTTCATACCTCTCCTCCCTCTACAGATGTTCCTGGTGTCTACTCTATTTCTTGCTCCTCCTGTCCTCTTCAATACTTTGGAGAAACTGGCCGATCTCTTTCTGACAGACTTAGGGAGCACAAAAATAGTGTTAGGCTTGCCGACACTAACAATGCTCTTTTCTGTCACGTCAGAGATCACAGCCATCCTATAGACTGGTCTTCTGCTAAAACTGTCTTCCCTACTTCCAACTCGAACAGTCACCGTCTAGTTGAATCCTCTCTAATGCACAACTTTCCCTGTATGAATCTTAGTCCTGGCTTCGTCTCTGTAGATGCCTTCCTCTCCCACTACATTGTAAAATGTTCCAAACTTCAGAACACTCGTGACTTAACCTGATTCCTCATTTTTCTTCTTCTCCCTCTTCCCCTTTCCTCTTTCCTTTTTTTCCTTTTTTGTCTTTCTTCTGTCGCGTGTTTCTGTTCCTTCATTATTTATTTCATCACTTCCCCTTCCCCCCACCTCTGTGCACTTGCTCTCCCTTTGTGGGCACCTAGCTCCCTTGCAGTGCTCCCCTTTCTTTATATTTGACTGGCTCCTCCTCCTTAGTTCCCCCCTCCTACTACTACTACTACTACTACCACTACTACTACTACTACTACTACTACCACTACTACCACTACTACTACTACTACCACTACTACTACTACTACCACTACCACTACTACTACTACTACCACTACTACTACCACTACCACTACCATACTATACCACTACTACTACCACTCACTACTACACTACTACTACTACCACTACTACTACCACTACTACTACCACTACACTACCACTACTACTACACACTACTACACTACTACTACCACTACTACTACTACTACACTACTACTACCACTACACTACTACTACCACTACTACTACTACATACTACTACTACTACTACTACTACCACTACTACTACCATACTACTACCACTACTACTACCACTACTACTCACACTACTACCACTACCACTACTCCACTACTACTACCACTACTACTACCACTACTACTACCACTACTACTACTACTCACTACTACTACCACTACTACACTACCACTACTCCCCTACTATACCGCCACTACTACTACCCTACTATCTACCCACTATATACTATCCATCCATGACTTCGACAAATACTAACTACACTAACCTCTTCCTGCTAATAATACCGTCCTAGCTCACCATCATGGTTAGTGTGAATTTTGCCCAACTTTGAGCCTATTTTCGGCCAATTCCAGTGACTTGTCGACAAAAAAATCATAACTATTCACTAGACTCCATTTCTCTTCTATCGGATAGTACAACAACCACCTCATTTACCAATTTCACTTCCAATCAGTGGTCGAATTTAAAAAAATTTATGCCAATTTCACACAAATTCAAAAGATGCCATTATTCCAAATAGGTCAAATAAACATAAAGACATTCCTTGGAAGCACTAAAATAACATTTCCTCTGTTCATTATCTCGTCCACGCCCCTCTTACATTCTTTGCTTTCCACTTTGAATTTTTTCTCACAAAAAAATAGAAGATTTACTGTTATGCAGACTACTGCATTAGTGTAGAAATGGTATAAATAATATCAGCGCATTTGTGAAAGAATATTAGACTCACCAGCTGACGTGTATTGGACACTTACCATGATTTGTTTACTTTTGAACTTTTGTAAAAAATCAAACATTTCTGCTACTTTGAGCTCAATTTCAAGGCACCTTTCTTTGTAAAACCAGTCAAAATCATCTCAATTTCTGTAATATGTCTTCCATTCTATAAAATGAGACCAGGAAAACTAGAATACAACAATAAATACCATACAAAAATACAGTGCAAAGTCGCTGTTTTAATCCAAAAACAAGGTCAAAGTTTTTTTTTTTCTCATTACGCACCATATGCTGCAGGATTTTTTTATACTGTGCACACATCGCATCTGCTAGAAAAATGACAGGATGGATAATGAGAACCTTCAAAACTAGGGATGCCAAGCCCATGATGACACTCTTCAGGTCACTTGTTCTATCTAGGCTGGAATATTGCTGCACTCTAACAGCACCTTTCAAGGCAGGTGAAATTGCCGACCTAGAAAATGTACAGAGAACTTTCACGGCGCGCATAACAGAGATAAAACACCTCAATTACTGGGAGCGCTTGAGGTTTCTAAACCTGTATTCCCTGGAATGCAGGAGGGAGAGATACATGATTATATACACCTGGAAAATCCTAGAGGGACTAGTACCGAACTTGCACACGAAAATCACTCACTACGAAAGCAAAAGACTTGGCAGATGATGCACCATCCCCCAATGAAAAGCAGGGGTGTCACTAGCACGTTAAGAGACCATACAATAAGTGTCAGGGGCCCGAGACTGTTCAACTGCCTCCCAGCACACATAAGGGGGATTACCAACAGACCCCTGGCAGTCTTCAAGCTGGCACTGGACAAGCACCTAAAGTCAGTTCCTGATCAGCCGGGCTGTGGCTCGTACGTTGGTTTGCGTGCAGCCAGCAGCAACAGCCTGGTTGATCAGGCGCTGATCCACCAGGAGGCCTGGTCACAGACCGGGCCGCGGGGGC